ATTCGATCTAATTTCGTAGTGTAGACATACCCTTAGAAACTTTCACCTAATTTCAAGGCTAAACTTGTTGATGGCCAGTTTATAGCCATTAGTTCTTGTGTTCTTGGCACTTAAATAACTCCTCTCCCACCCTGGTATTTGTCCCTCTGATGTATTTATAGAGAACAATCACATCTCCCCGCAGCCTTTGTTTGGTTAGGCTAAACAAGCCAAACTCTTTGAGTCTCCTCTCATAAGGTAGGTTTTCCATTCCTCTGATCATCCTAGTAGCCCTTCTCTGCACTTGTTCCAGTTTGAATTCATCTTTCTTAAACATGGGAGACCAGAACTGCACACAGTATTCCAGATGAGGTCTCACCAGTACCTTGTATAATGGTACTAACACTTCCCTGTTGCTACTGGAAATACCTTGCCTGATGCATCCTACGACTGCATTAGTCTTTTGTCCTCTGGTGTTGATGGGCCTTTTTTGTTAGGCTTGAGATAACACTTCCTGTTGGAAACTAGTATTTCACACTCATTAATGCTTCTCTCCTGTCTGGTGATTTACAGGTACAAACACTCATATATTTTGACAACATGAGATACAGGTGAGATTAATGCATGCAGCAATTTACAAGCATTTCATAAAGTCTAAACACACTGTTGTAACTCTAATAACTATTTTAACAATACAAACACACAGGGGAGCCAGACTGGTTCCAGCTATGCATTTGTCTGTGTTCAGTTGAGACCCTGGGACCTTGGCATGAGCTGACACCTGGTCTGCCAGCATCACAAATGGGTCAAGTGATTTTTGGCTGTAAAGTGCTTTGGGATGAAACATTCAATAAAACCCTAAAATATTGTAAATTGCTACCCTCCCCCAATCTTTCACTAAGATGTGCTCAACCCTGGGTTGAGAATGGACACCATGATCGTACTCCCAAAGGCAGACCTTTACACAACAGATTGTGATTGAGAAATCAGCACATCCATTACTAATCTACCCACAGAAATCTTCAGAATTCTGAAGAAATCCATTCTAATACTGCCATGCTATAACACTCATAATGCTCATCAGAGCACTCCATAATGCAGTAGACTGAATGCTGTGAAATGTATTAAATACTATGAATAGGACCCTACCAAATTCACGGCCGTGAAAAATGTGTCTCGGACCGTGAAATCAGACCTCCCCTGTGAAATCTAGCTATTGGAGGGGAGGGGCAGGGCTGCGGGCACCCCAGCTGTGGGCTCCTACTGTGCCCCCAGCTCCAGCTGCTAGTCCCCTCCGGGCTGGGGAGGGTCAGGACTCTTCCCCTGCATGGCAGCACTTGGGAGGAAATCAGATCCACCTCCAGGTACCTCCCTTGGCTGGGGCGCTCCCAGCAGCACCGGGGAGATCAGACCCACTTCCACCTCCAGCAACATTCTGCAGTCAGGGTAGGTACCCAGAACTGGGCCTGATCTCCCCCCAAGCACAGCCGTGTAGAAGAAGAGCAAGTCCTGTCCCTCCCCAGGCCAGCCGGGACTAGCAGTTAGGACCCTCTAGCTGCAGCGCTCCCAGCAGCATGAGGGAGATCAGAGCCACCTTCATCTCCAGGAACCTGCTGTGGCTGGAGGAAGCTCCGGTGCTGCTGCCTTCAGAGCCCAGTACAGAACTGAAGGTGGCAATCCATGACGCTCCCCCCCCCACACACACACACACAACACAGCTTTGCAACATCCCCATGACCCCCTTTTGGGTCAGGATCCTCATGCTTACAACACATCTGAAAACATGAAATAGACTAATTTTCAAATCCTATGGCTGTGAAATTGACCAGCATGGACCCTGAATTTAGTAGGACCTTAACTATGAAGCTAAGAGTAGCTTTTGCTTGATTTCAATTGTTTTATTTCCTTTGAGGAGAAAACGCTTTAGTTCCCCCAAACCATCTCTTGGCACGTCTGACCAATGTACATATTGTTATGATTGGACTGCTTAATTCCTGCATGGGGAGAATTTAAAACGGTCAGACTGGCACCCATCAAAATATTTGTGAACTTACTCAAACTGGGTCAGGCTGAAGTGGAAATGACACAATTGTAGTGTTTTATATCACTTGTCAGCGAAGAACTTTGCAAGCAAGAGAAAAAAACAATTTAACTCTTTCCTACAGAGAAAAATGATCAAATGTTATCCATTTGCATTTAATATCTCCCTATGGCTTCTAGCCAGACAACTTCAGTTTGCAATCTCAGAAGCTAAACAGAGCTAGACTTGGTCAGAAGTTAGATGGGGGAAGGGAGGGACCAGCAAAGAAAACCCCCATATTACACAAATTGGCATTGCTGATTCAGAACCCTCTGCTCTCTGACACAGTAAAAATCCTTAGCATTATGTTTGGGTGCCATTGTGGGTGCTGTTTTTCAGATGTTTCAGCTGGATATAAGATTGTTCATGCCATAGGAATGGCTTTTAATAGAACTTGTGCTTTAGATCTCTTAGCTACTCTTGAAAATCTCCTAAATTGATAAATCTTGCCCCCGGTTTCCATTTTGAAGTGTTCACTTTGTTGCAATTATTGGATGAGCATTTTACAGACACATTTCTGCCTACCAGATGCTCACACTGTGTGTTCACTGTGGGCATTTGTTATTCATTACCACCATTGTGCAATTAGATAATTTCAGGGAGATGCTGTTGTTTCTGCTCCCTGATTGGATGAGGATCAATTCACTTTGAAGATGGGAGCCAATCCACAGGATTAAGCAATTTTGGGAACACATTTAAACTTTTTCCCCCCCTCCAAACTATCTGGGTCAAGTCAGGGCTGAGATGTCACTGCTAGAAAAGTTAAGCTATTGTAGTAACAGCAGCAGAGGTCAGATTTAAAATTAGTCTGAATGTTATGGGTGGAAACTATGTTATCAGAGGTACAATCTTAACTAAAACTTGTGGCTTGTCCCTCTCTGCCTATTTCAACTACCTGTCAGTGCTCCAGCCAGGGCCTTTCTGCAACTGAAGTTGCAAAATGTATAATATAGGCCAAGGGTTTGGGACAGGAGGCCTGGGTGTTGAGTTAAGCACTATCTCCTTTTCCAAGCACCTGCCAAATGCTTTTATTGAACTTGGTCTCCAATTGTGTCAGCTGTCACCATCCGCCACAGTCACAAGCCAATGCGTAATTGCAGCATGAATTAATGTGTCCAATCCTAATTCTGCAGAACACAGGTGGATCTCTAGGCTCTGTCCAGGAGAGTAATAGGATTCCCATAGTACTGTGTTGCCATGCAGTGCCCCATATACAAGAATATTTCATATATAACAAAGGTAGATTTTGAATTTTCTAGTCTCCAGTTTTATAAGCCATCCATCAGACAGATAGTAATTGTGGAATGTGTGTGGGAGAACTTATCTTGAGACTGTTTCCCCCCGGAAGATGCTTATTGTGACAAAGATGTTTCCTATTGCTCCTCCAGAATGCAGTTAGCTGGAGTTCCATGTTATGGAATACAGCTCTCCAAGGCTATTTTACACACTTTTTTGTTTGGAAGAGCTACCTTTGGGGTGCTGGTTGCATAGAGAGGAAGGCTGTCAAAGGGTCTATCTTTCAAGCTTGCTACATGATTATTCAGAACCTATTCTTGTCCCATCTCTTGAACACCAAATACTATAACTGAAAGTAAACAAGCCACATAGATAGAAGATACATTAATTTATTTTTACAATAAAAACTGTGAATAAAGTGTCATGGTTTTCAATGACTGAATTGGTCCCTCACAATCGCGTTTGGTGGGGTCACTCCAGTGATCGTCAAACTGTGACACACAAACGTTCAGTATAAGAGAAACAGTTAAAATTTCCATAGTGAAAGAAAGCTGCAGATTGTGTAACAGAGAAGATACGAAAATTGCTATCTGGTTCATGGTTGCATCATAGGCTCTTTGAAAACCACCCCACTCCAAGAGGTCATCACAAAACCAGAATTGTATTCTTTTGTCTTTCCCCATCTGGAATGATTTTTTAAAATCCCTTTGAAAACAATAATTGGGCAAATTAACAAGGTTCTACTGGGGTTATACACACCCACCCTTAGGACAAGGAAGTTGTTAACTTTAATTTACTGAACATTACATAATGTATGGAAGGGCTTAGTTCCTATTTACTTTTGGGATTATTCATGATTTTATCAACACCAGTTTGATTTCTCGGATTTAAGGCAGCTATGATGTTACTGAAAATGAGACAAATATTTGTAACCGCATTTGCCTCAATATTAGCCAGATCTCTCGTTTCTGTCTACAACCACCTCCTTTCTACCATATATTAAGCTGATACTTTTGTAACACATTTGATGCTGTAATTTCACAAATCAGACTCTAAAGACCAGATATTAAGAATTTTACAATAATTTGAAAAAAAATAGACACCAGTTATAAATAGGAAATATTACAGCCAACCTGGCCTTTATAGCAACATACAAATCTAAATTTGTTTATAGTTCTCTACAGAATAAAGTATCAGCTACCATATCCAAGGATGTCTCTGAAATCTAGCCGGGTTTTACACGATTAAAAGAAATTTGCAAAGGAAATTTGTGGACACATTGGAAATGTCCTATCACCGTACATGAGGAAAAGAACATCTCTGTAATAAAACCTAATCTTTTATGACACCTTCTCAAGAAAACAAACATCTCCCTTTCTTGGTTTGATGTCTGCAATGGTTAGCTGGGAATCTTCACTCTCACACAAGCCCAGCCTACAGACAAACATTGCTGCCCACTACTTAGTACTCCCTCCTAGCAAGCCCCAGTCTCACAAAGCTCCATAAATAGTGAGCAAATCCGGGGATGAATGGACCTAAAAATACAAAACAGGACAGACAGATGACCCAGAATGGAAGATTCTGACAGGTAACTAAAAATAGATTATTTTAAATCAAATTAAAAATAGAGATAACGTAAGAGGGATGTGTTACTGACACTGCAGAAGCCTTGGGGTAACCTATAGCACGCAGTAAATCAAGTATATCATCCATCAGACTCTACCTTATCTGCATACAATAGTAATGTATCAGAGTGAGCGGGGGTTTCATCCCAAGTAGTGTTTACTGATTGATTTTGGCTACCCATATTTGAAAGCGACTTGCTACAGGAATTTCCAGGCTGTTCCACTAACTGTTCAGAAGCAGCACGCTCATTCTCCTTCACTGTAGCACATGAAGCTGCATTTTCCTCAGCAGTCTGAGACAGATTCTGAGACTGGGCAGCCTGTCTCCCTCCTTCTGCCTCCTGCTGCTGCAGCATCTGCTCCACCTCAATCTCAAGTTCCAGATTTTCTTCATCTGCCTCCACTTCCAGCTGCTTCATTAACTCTTCCAGCTTCTTGGCCTTACGGAGTTCATTCTGCTGTATTATAGTGCATAGATGCTCTGTGAGATGCTCCTTGATCTCAGTCTTCCGTTGGAAATCTAGCTTTGCTGCTACATACTCTGACTCTGCCTTATCATATCGCTTCCTGCAAAAATAATGTTTTTGGTGTTATTCATCCTGAAGAATCCCAAAGTGCTTTACAAAGTTACACACATGGATGAATACTTGATCAATCACTGAAAGGCATTTTCCTCTGCAGTGGGCAAGGCCAGCTATTTAATAGCACACAGCAACATTGTTCAACAATTATAAAGCAAGGGACGGAAAGGAGAATGTGCCAGCAGAAGAAAGTCCACTCCATCAGTTTCCACTGCTGCTGCATTCTAGGAGTAAATTCCCTTGTCTGAAATGCACAGATGGCAAACAATTTTGTTGACTTTTGTATGAGATTCATCTCCAGCATGCTGAAAGAAATCATCACTAGTAACTGCTCCATGTATTCTAATGGAAAATTAACTATTCAGAAAGATACCAAAGTGATTCATGTTCATTTTATTGTAGCTAAACAGATCAACAATCCAACAGATCAACATTCTATGTAATTAATGAAGTAGTTACATTGCTACTTCAGTCTTTTCTAAAAGTGTACTTTCCCTGTCATTCAAAAAAACATATACCTATGTCACTAGCAGTACAGATGGGCACAGCACATGACACCATATAATGACCACAGCTTTTGCAGACTCACCAATGTAGAAATAATTGCATCATCAGCATGGACACTTATCAGTTTGTACATTCTGACATGACAAACTTTCTAATGTAAAGCAACAATTACAAATATTTTGTGGGGCAACATAACGGTGGAAGGACTTAACTAGTAGAAGGATACCAGAGGCTGGCTGAGAGAGGAGGGAGGCTGTGGATCATACGCATCACGACCCTGTATTGCACCTTGTGACAGAGAGCATCCACAAATATAGTATCACAAAGGTGCCTGTAAAAACAAAGAGCTGCTTCGGAAAGCCATATTCAGGTGTCTCATTACCAAGCAATAGAGGGACACAGTGGTCCTTTTGTTTGAGGAAGCAGAACAAAATGAAACAGGATTTTTTCAGAGTATATTTCAGTAAGAAATAACTGCAGAATTCTGCTCCCAGCTGGAGCTCTATTCATGGCAGTGAATGACAAAGCCATGTCCACAGGGCCCCAAAATACCCACTCCTCTTTCTGTCACAAGGGAGTCACAGAGATGATGTAATGAAGAACTCAGACATGAAGCATACATGCAAGGAACAAAATTAAGGTTACTGTGGAAACATTTGTCCAATTAAAACTTTAACCTGCATGAACATAGTTTTTTTTTTTTTTGCATAGGAATATTTATAAATATTCCATTTTATAGTCTGAACTATGCAATTAGGACTATAAATACTGCACTTCTTGGCAGGTTAAACTAATTTGGCATTTAGCCTTAAAATATAAGGCAAAACTTCAATAATTGCTCAGAAAGGCATTGCTTGTTAGGTAAATGAAAGCTTTTAATGGTGGGTGGTATATTCTACAACACTGAAAATCCATGTGTAACTACTTTCCAAATCATGAAAAACTGATTACACAAAAACATAGCGAACTCATGAGGCGTATTTTTAAAGCTTTGCCTTCTTTCCCTACTAACCTTCCTTTTTCCATCTTTGTTACCTAAGTACAGTTTCCTGTAAACATTCTGTATGATTTTTTTCTATCACTGAGAATTTAAGATGCACAGTTCAAATGGGTGTAATGTTTTATGATACATGTCTAAATGTTTCATGGTTTCTGAAATCTATTTGAGTAAATCCTACAAACACACTGGCACTGAAAAGTCTTCTCTGGCATAGATCTGAAACTGTGTGATTTTTCCAAAATATCCTAAAATAGTGGAACTACATAAGGTCAGCTAGTCCCTGCCATTTTAAATGATAATTAGTCGATAGCTATCCTCAGTACTTAGCTGCCACTGGTATTCATTTAAAAGCTAATTACCATGTTTATTGGCCTGTGGGTCAATACACAGCAAAAGTTACAAGGAAAACTACAATTTCTACACGTTGAATAGTGAACTAAAACCACAACCAAACATTTCCATTTCATTAAATGCCTATATAAACATGCTTATATTTACATACTCATGTTGTGGTTTACCCTATACTAATGAGGCACTCAGATTAATTTTACATGTTGAAGGATGCTGCAAAAGAGAATCGTCAGAGTTGCACTCCCTTGTAGTAGTAATAATAATAATAGTAATAAAAAAACCTCAAATGATGGAAAGAGACATTGAGAACCCTGAAGACTGAAACTGACCTACATTTGGTCCCAATTCAAGAAAGTACATATTTAACTTTAGGCATGTATGCAAGTCCCACAGATTTCAATAGAGCTTAAGTGCTGTCCTTAATTAGGGCGCTTTCCTGACTCAGGACTTTTGTTTACAGAGTTGATGTAATACATTACATGTGTTTGGTTCTTCTTTTAAAACTGCTCTTTTCCCAGGAAAAAAGCCAACAACGAAACCACTCTGTAACACAGTAGTGCTTATGTATAACTCTACCATAACGGACCAGCACATATGTACAATGAAAAGGCGGCGATGGGGTGGAATGGCAAGTAAAGTTTTCAGTCGGGAAACTTATGTTAGTTGCAAGCTTCTGTTTAGGCCACTATGATCTAAAGAGAAACCACTGTATATTAAAACTTGTTAAATACACCTGCACTGGGTCTTTTAATGACATGACTCGCATCAGCCTTTCTTCAGTGAAAGGAAACTGCATACATTTTCCCAAGAGTACTTGCTGCTCTGTCTGTTAATTGCTTACCGAGCAAATGAATAGTCCATGCTGGCCTGATCGATTCGGTTCCTTAAGATCCCAATGTCAGCAGACACCATGTCATCCAGAGCCTGTAGCTCTTTTTGGATTCGCTTTAGTTTCACTGTTTCAGCCTGAGTTCTTTTGGATCTGAAAAAAACAAGATGCAAGTTCTCTCTCTTTAGAAGCATCCTACACAAGAGACATGTTGTGTTTCAACTCCAGACCCATCAGCTCATTAGCAGTTGCTCAAAGGTTTCTCTTTCATAGTTTAAGGCTACGTCTTCACTACCCGCCGATCCGGCGGGTAGCAATCGGTCTATCGGGGATCGACTTACCGCGTCTAGTGAAGACGCGATAAAATCGATCCCTGATGGCTCTACCGTCGACTCCGGAAATCCACCGCGGCAAGAGGCGGTAGCGGAGTCGACGGCGGCGCGGCAGCAGTCGACTTGCCGCCGTCCTCACAGCCAGGTAAGTCGACCTAAAATACGCCACTTCAGCTACGCTATTCACGTAGCTGAAGTGGCGTATCTTAGGTCGACCCCCCGCTGTAGCGTAGACCTAGCCCAAGATTCTTGATCTTTCTTCCCATATTTATGGGGATCTAAAGTGTCTGCTATTAACAGTCTGAAACAAAAATATGTAATGACTGCAATCAAAGTGCCTAAAATGGATTGTATTCCTTCACTCGGAAAACTCACTCTTTGAAACTAAGTAACTTTAAGCATAAGAACATAGAAAATTGCTAGAAAGGAAGCCAAAGGAAGCAGGAGCCAAAAAGACTGGGTCACCTAGCCCAAATGTGATTATTTCCATTTTGTAGGATTACTCTCTATAGGCCTGATCCAAAGCCCAGTGAAGTCAATGGAAAGAGTCACATCAAATATGAAAGATTTCAATCAAGCCCTACATAATCTTCTTCAACTCTGTTTATTACATTTGTAAGTTCAAGAACTAAAACTATCTACAGGAAGCATGTTCAGACCCAAGCACCTCAGGTAATTTTCAATGAGATCTCATACTAGGCCATGCTACCACCACCCATCATATCAGTGCACCACGCTTGTCAAACACAGATTTGATTTTTCATAAAATAGCCTTAGGTATCTTAATATCTCCAGTCTTCTGACTGACCAGCATTAGCAAACCACTGTCACCTTTTTAATCAATTCACCAATTCTATCAGCAACTGGTCATGTAACCAATACCTTTTTCACACCACCTGTATCCAGATACATACCAGCTTTGCACCTCCAAATGCCCCTTATATTATCAATTCCTTTACGTTCAACTATAATAGAGACTTATCCTGTTATTCCCACAACTAAACGTTAACTCAGCCCTATCTTTCACCCTTGTGCCAGCAGACTAATAAGCCCTTTTAGCTCAGCCACTTTTTCCAAACTACATATTAGCCCCATCAACTATATCCTCTAGTCTTCTCTATTTCATTCACCCAATTCTTGTATTCTCTAGTCCCATACTCTGAAGCCTGTTGGACACTGCTGCTTCATTTATCTCTACACTCCTTCTTGTCTTAGCATTAAAGGTCTCTGACTTAATACCAACACTTGTTTCTCGCACAGTGTGCATTCAGTCTGAATTTAGCACAGCTGGTTGTCCTCTTCTATCAGACTCAACTTGCTGCATTTTTCATTAATATTAAGATGTCTTTAATGGAGATCCTTTCATCAGAGAATCTCAAAGCACTTTACACTACACACCTTAATGAATTAAGTCTCTCCAGATTTCCGAGAAAAAGGTAATATTCCCATTTTATAGGTGAGGGAACAAACAGACTAAGTGACTTTCTAAATGTCACATAAGTCACTGGCAGAGCTGGGACTAGAACCCAGGAGTCCCTGTCCCCTGCTCTAATCACTGTACACAATACCACCAAATTAAATGCAAAATCACTGATCTGTTCAAGAACATCAGATTCACTCTGTAAAATTGTAACAGGAATTATCAGTTTGCAGAAGAAGCTGCATCTTCAGAAATGCAATCCACATAAAAAGAGCTTCTTAGCCACCACACAATTTGGAATAAAATGTGAGTATCATGTACTGTTGCTCATTTGCACACACACACACACACACACACACACACACACACACACACACAAAAATCTTTAGTGCAGAGGAAAGGGGGACAAGTTGGATTTGCTAAAACTTAGTAACTTATCATAGACAACAAAACACCCCCCTTCCCTAGGTATGGCAGTAGAACGCAGAATGTCCTCATCACCTTTCAGCAATGGCTTTGGCCAGGAGTGCCTTCTTGCGTTTATTCTTCTCTTCCATCAGCCGCTGCTCCTGCTGGAGAACTTCCCAACGAGATTTCTCCTGCCTGGGCATTGACAAAGCAACAGGGTTAAACAAGGGTTCATCTCTTTCCTGCCTCTCCCCACCCAAACAGCAGTCATACTCCTTGTGTTTATTTTATTGGAGCACCCATTAAGGATTTCCAAGAATCCAAGGACAGCTCAACACCTCGGTTCTGTGCGAATGAGGAAGGAAGACTGATCAGGAAGAAGAGTTATTAGCTTCAGGAGATACTCAAGTTTACTCTCAAAAAAAAAGCAAGCCAGGGTCTCTTATGAACAAAGAATGTGGGGTTTGTTCTTTGCTACATTAGAATCCCATGTTTTTAACTAAAATTAGTATATATTGTTCACAAATAGGTGGCTTTTCACTATGAATCATACACACCCCAACCCATCTCTAAAATCCTGGGCAGACAAATATTTTATGGTATTATATAAATTCATCCTAATTGGATTAGATGAATGCAACAGTCTTTGGCTGTTGGTGGCCGAATGCCATTTTCCCCTACGTAAGTCACATCATGTTAGTTGTTGCGGTGGTTTCATCCATCACCTTTTCAAAAGGATCTCAGTAACAATCCTCTCCTCATAATTTAATGCATAATAGGGCTGTTCTTCCATGAACAAGGCATACAATGGAGGATAAGAATAATTGGGTTTTAATTTAAAAACTATTTTTGTATTTAAATTGGTGTCTGATTTTATTTAAATTATAGTAAGGTTTTCTTTTTAAAAACAAACCTGCTTAAAATTAAATCTGAATTTAATATAAAATACGTTAAGGCCTGAACTTAGTATAATTTAGTTGCAAATGTGAAACATGTTTTGATAAGAGAAGTTTATGTATCCAAAACATTCAATGTTATTTTAATAAAAATAAATTTTATATGTTGTTTAATTAAATTCCATTTACTCCCCAATGCAGCTTGACACAAATCATTAGCAAAAAGTTAATTATCTAATAAATACGCAACATATTCACCATTTTCTAACATACAAAAAATGTACAATTAATAAGAATCTGAAAATAGTAAGCTATATAATTGTCTAAATAAATGTATACAGGTATAGTATATCCTCCTAGGTAGCAAAGAGATGTACCAAACTAGTGTGTAAAGTTATATTTAGTTGTAAATCAACATTTTAATGGTTATATCAACCAATGAGAATGCACCTTTATTGAGAAAATAACTGAAGTACAAATGGAAACATTGATTAAAATTGATTATTTAAATTGAGGATTTCCACTTGGTGATTTAAATTGCTGTGATGTAAATCAATCCACCCCGGAATAAAACATCTGAAGTTACTTGATAGCTAAAGGGAAGGAAGAAATTTTTTCAAACCACTGTGATGCTAGAACATAGGGTGTTATTTGACGTGGGAATGTTCCAATGGAATATACATGGTAGTTGGGTCTGCACTGGTGGCTGCTGGGCAGCAACCAACGCGTTAGCTATAGAATGTACTAAGTGGGAAAGTTTGGCCCTGTCAGTCTGACATAGCACTATCCATGGCCAGGGTGGATAAAAATCAATTATTAAAAAAAAAAAAAAAAAAAAAATCAAAAATATCGGATTTTTTTTATTTAAATCGGATTTTTTTCCCCAAAAAGCATTTTATCTAAAGATAATTTTAATTAAGATACATTATAGCTCAAAGATATCTCATCATGGAATAGGGATTATAAATTCTAATTCTATAGTATGAGACAATATATTCATGTAATCTTTAAGAAAAGTTTTGTAAATGAGTTCCAATAGTTCATGGATTAGGGACCCAATTTTATGGGGTTCCAGGGGCTTCTGTATAGATTATTTACGTTAATCTTTCTATCTACCCAATGGGACTCAGTGCTTAGTCTAGAAGAATAGATCTGGACAAGAAGAAGAAGTCTGGAGATAAATGTGAGATGGGAGGGACAGGTAGTAGAAACAAAAGTGAAATTGTTTGAGCAGCATATTGCAGAAGTCTTGAGGTCTTTCTGAGTGTAGCCTTCATTGATTTGAGATCTACCACACCATTCTCTCACTAGAAGGGAAAATCTATAATGGCAGCAGGCCGTAAGAGAGACCCAGTTTGGGAATAAGAACCATTCAAGAAATATGTTTGCTGATGATGTTTTAAATAAAGTCACACCAGTGAACTGGTGGAAGTCACATAAGCACTTGGATTCAGAGACTGTTGAAGTAATAATCTCACTTTTAACAGCAGTATCTTCTTCTGCTAGTGTAGAAAGAATATTTTCTTCCTTTGGACTAATTCATTCCAAATTCAGAAATCCTTTGGGACCTGAAAAAGCAGGAAAGCTTGTTTTTCTTTTCCAGATTATGCACGAACAGGAAAATGAAGGTGAAGACGACTGAGTTAGCTGCAGAAGCCAATATTTTAAGTTTCTCATGTTGACCTGGCTGACATAGTCGATTTAAGTTTTTTTTTTTTTTTTTTAAACTCATTTAACTATTTTAGTTAAAAACAATTTTAACAAAAACAAACCTGATTTTAAAAAACTTGAATGTTTAACTAACTTCAAAAATTCATATGCTTGTTTTGTTAAAATATTATATGTTTGCTGTTGAAAAAAAATCCAGAATACGTAACATTGTTTTAGTTAGATAAAACAATTTAAATGTCTGTCTGGTGATGTTCTCCTCCTAATACAGCATGGCAAGAAAATCCTCCAAATATTAATGATTAACCTGTTGAATTGGAGAAAGTTCACCTCCCAATGACTTCATAAATATCTGCTTCAATTACCTTTGGTAAATGAAATATCAAACAATCATTCATTTTCTGATATAGCTGTAAAACTAATCTGAAAAGTTTTCAAAATAAATCACTTTAAAAATGTATAGTGTGTACCTTCTAAAAATGAAACCTACATCTCTGAGTTGTGAAAAATATTTAGTAAGGTTATAACAACCAACAAGAATGCACTTTTAATATAGAAATCCATGAATAAATCGAGTCTTCCTGACTAGTGATTTAAATCAAATCCACCCTGTCCATGGCTTTGCTGAAGTACGTACTTACTTTTTAAATGAATACATGCCACGGAGCATTACAAAATGCTTACAGACAGGGGAAGAATGAACATTCTACTGAGTACTGGGACTCTCACTGATGGAAAAAGAAATAGAGCGTATGGAGGCAGGCAGGAAAAGAAACCTAAAAATGTAAAACACAAAAATCACCTTAATACAAGCTGTGCCAGATAGCCAGTCTTTTACACAAAGGAAAAATAAATACACGTAAGGCACCTGGCCATTTATGCAGTGCTGTACCACAGTAGAGAGAAGGAGAACTTCCTGACTAAAACTACACATAGCTGCTTGCAGCAACATGGAATAGTGGACTAGATGGGGCATGCGTCTGATCAAGTATGGCAATTACTGTCCAGATGGTTCAGAGGAGGGTGCAAAAATCCCCACTCTAGGCCCCTATGGGGTAATTTGATCCCCGTGATACTCTCATCCTAACCCCTAATTGTTAAAGATCAGCTCAAACTCTAAAACATGATGTTTTATCCCTTGTTTCCAATACTTTTTAGCATTAACTATAACAACTTTGGCACCTAAGAACTTATTACTCTGGGTACCCAGAAGTAACTTCAGACAAACAAGGGCAAAATAGTTACAACAAACAAGACAGTAAGTATATAGTCAGGCAGTCTATTTAAAAAAAAAAAAAAATTGCTCATTCTAGTAAACTATTCTGAAACTATTCTGATATCAGGAATTTCTACACAGTCAAATATTTATTATTCACCCAGCTCTACAAACTGGGTGAAAAAAAGAGAAATACTGACCTAATTTATTGGAAAAAATTGTGAAATTCATCAAATATGTTATTTGATCAGCTCTATTAGTTACAGTAAGCAGAGAACAGAAGGTTAGATGTGGTTAGGCAGGAAAGGGACATTTGGGATGGGTTTTGAGACGCTATACTGAAGTGAACAGGAAGGGTTTAACACCAACTTTTAAAAGAACAAGTAATTCAGTAGTTTGGAGAGACACAGACACACACAACAACACAAGCGAAAAATGTCTCTGGTGCAACCCCCCACCCCTGCTGTAGAGTAACAAGGAGTAATTACAGAGGAGGCAGAGACTAAGTCAGCGGGTAAGAAAACACCAGTGTATAGCGAGTTAACCTCACAGCCTTCTCTTGATGCAAAAAGGATGTTTTTTTTTCAATCATGTTAGCTCAAGATGACTGAAAAACCCCATCAAGATGCAGTCTAGCACATCTAAAGCCATGTTCTCTGGCCATTATTTAGCCAAGGGGAGAGACTTAACAACTGAAACCCACCTCCACACCAAATCAAAAGGAGGGCCCATAGAAAGTTTTGAAAACCAGGAGAGCAATTTTTTGAAAGGGGCAAAAGTTAAACAGAACCAAAAAGATGCATTTCCAAATGTGAGCTTTGTATACTACATAAATAAACCAGAATCAACAGATGTGCTTAACCCTTCAAAGACAATTTAAAAAAAAAAAAAAAAAGAGTCCCATGACCTGGCCGCCTTACAATTTAGGTCCCTAATCCTGCAATCTTGCCTGCATGGAGTCTATTGAAGACAACGGGACTCCATTTTCTGCACGAATTAGGGCTTGTCTACACTGGCACTTTACAGCGCTGCAACTTTTTCGCTTGGGGTGTGAAAAAACACACCCTAGCACAGCAAGTTTCAGTACTGTAAAGCACCAGCGTAGACAGTGCGCCAACGCTGGTAGCTGCGTTCCTAGAGCTGGTAGCTGCGCCCCTTGTGGAGGTTGGTTTTTTAGAGCGCTGGGAGAGCATTTTAACATTGCCAGTGTAGACTAGCCCTTTAGATTGCAGGACTCAGGTCTACATGAGATATTACTGAACAAAGGGTGGCAATTAAAGGATCAGCAGAAAAGAAGCAAAGGAGAAGACTTCTTATTCTAAAATACAGTACAGTTTAATATTAAACTTTAGTTTATTGTACAACAAAATGATGAATTAGTAAGGAATAAAACCAATCCCTTGATTTTACAGACTTACTAACAATTCCACTCTCTTTTTCTCCAGTTTGAAATCCATCTTTACAGGGAGTTCCTGGGGTTTTTCATTGCCATTACAACGATTTTCAAGTCCCTGTGCATTCTGTTGAGCTCTGGTGTCATGTTGCCTTTGATCCTTGATTGGGGATGGAGGTGGTGGCGGCAGAGGCTGCTGAGGAAGACAGGGCTTGTGTTTTGGTACAGAAAGCAGCTGTTCTGGAAGTACAGAGGCTGCTCCATCCTGCCGTCCCAGTTTCTGACATTGTTGCTGAAGAGCTTTTTCTCGTAGCAACTGCTGACGGCTCTTATTTACAGACAGGGGTCGACGCTGCTGATCAGAAGATTCAGATGTATCTATTTATAGTAAAAATAAAAACAGAATCCTTTTAGGAGAGGCAAAATCTTGACGATTTATTTTCTTATAAACTCTATGGCTGGTAACATGATCAACCTTTGTCAGAAAGCCACGTGAGTGAGGATATGCAAACAAGCCACGTAAAAATGTTTTGCTGCTATAATATTAATACTAGAGATTCAGGTTATTTCAGTGAAATACAGGAACTTGGATGCTGGACAGAACTCCTGGATTACTCAAAACTGTGGTAAATTTTCCATCGCTTGAAATCTTTCAATCAAGCTTTCAGGTCTTTCCAAAAGGCATGCTCTGGTAGTTGTTGGGCTGGATGCAGGAATCACTGGATGCAACTGGACAATACAGTTGGTCAGACAAGATCAGTGGTTCTCAAACCTTTTGTACTGGCGATCCCTTTCACTCAGCAAGCTCTGAGTGCGGATCCTCCCCCTTAAATATAAAAATATGTTTTTAGTTTATAACACTATTTTAAATGCTAAATTTATAGCCATACTGTTTAAAATGAACTTGCCTTTTCTCACTGCTTTTAAATTAAAACGAAAAGACATTTTTATCAAATTACTGTTATAAGCAGAAAAGTTATTTTTTGAAATAGTTACTATTTAATACTGGGGGGAGGGGCACGAAGCAACTGTATCAATATCACTTTTCACAGCAGACTTAGTGCCCCATTGCCACCCTTACTTCTGCGCTGCTGCTGGCTGCAGCTCTTCAAGTTGCACTACTGCTGGCAGCAGCACGGCTTTCAGCGCCACCACCACCAGCAGCACAGAAGTAAGAGCGGCAATGGGGTGCTAAATCTGCTATGAAAAGTTATATCTGTATGTTTGTTAATATCACCTTTCACAGCAGACTTACTAGGGCAAACTTCCTATCTAACTGGGAAGCTGTGAACAGTGATATTAACAAACATACAAATATCACTTTTCACAGCAGACTTACTTGCGCCCCATTGAGACCCTTACTTCCGTGGTACTGCTGGCAGCAAGTGCTGCCTTCAAAGCTGGGTGGATGGAGAGCAGCAGCTGCTGGCCAGGTGCCCAGCTCTGAAGGCAGCATCGCCACCAGCAGCAATGCAGAACTAAAGGTAGCAATGCCACCCTTACCTGTGTGTAATGCTTGACCTTTGCACTGGGAAGGGTGGCTGGGGGGGCACTAAGGCAAATTTTGGGGTGGCCATAGCCCACACAAGCCCCCCGCCAGCACTGCCCCTCCTGTATGTTTGACTGTTAAATTATAAATTACTTTTTTTTTTTTGCCTATCCCAGTGTTCTGATTGTTCTGTGGTTTAATGCAGCCCTTCAGCTGCTGAACAATCAAGCCCTCTAATGTTGTCTCAGTCCCAAGGCCAGCCTTAGGGAAAACGGCACCCTGGGAAAACTTCAATTTTGGTGCCCTTCTTTTGGAGATGTAGCGGGGCTGGAGGCAGAGCAGACGGCCAGCCATGCACAGGGCTAACAACTCAAGACCCCTTGGAATAACCTCACGGCTCTCAGTTTGAGAGCTCCTGGACTACATGATCATAATGGTGCCTTGTAGTCACAAAATCTATGAGAGAAGGGAAGGGGGAGAATCTTTTTCATCATATACATGTAAGAAACCAGCTAGAGAGTCTCACATTCGAAGGCCGGAAGGAACCACTGCGCTCCCCCGCACCGAGCCCCTGCCTAACCCAGCCCGGAGCACGGCCCCAAGCTAAGCCCTGTTCCAAGTCCCAGCAGTTACCGACCCTCCCTGGCACGGGATCGGAAGGGGCCTTTCCCCTCCGGAGCGAGCTAGCCAAGACCCCTCCAGGGCCAGGCATCGCCACAGACCTCGCTCCGCCACCACTGCTGTCAGCCCCAGGGCTCCGGCTGCCCTGCCCAGCGCCCCCGAGCTCGGGCCAGACCCAAGGTCCCAGGAGAGGCCGGGCTCGGACGGGGCCCCGACACCAGCTCTGCGCCCAATCGGCCGGTGGTGGGGTGGGGGGGACAACGCCGGCTCCGAGCATCCGCCCCACGGAACCAGCAAGTGCCGCCCCCCAGCTTCAGCGGGCCGCCCTGAGGGCTCCCGGCAGGGACACCCGGCCCCCGCTCACCCCGGCCGGTACCTGCGTGCGGCCCCCGCAGCCTCCGCAGCTCCTGCTCGGAGAAGCCGGCCCAGCCCCCCGCCATAGCGCCTCATCCCCGGGGGTGGCGGCGCTCGCGGCGGGTGCTTCCTCCTTCCGCTGCCACGTCCTGGGCTCGGCAGGACCCCGCGCCCGGGCCTGCCCCTGGCTCCGCCGGCCGCTTCCCCACAGCCTGTTACTCCATGAAGGCCGGGCGGGGTATCAATCACAGCGCAGGCAGCCCTATGGGAGCCCGGCGGGGTCCTAGCGAGTTACCATGGGGAAGAGGGCGGGGCCTCAAGGGAAAGGTGGCTGCTGGGCAGGGGAGGGAGATCTGAGGGGGAGGAGGCTCCTGCTTCCCATCCTGCTGCCGCTCATCCCTTGCTCTCCAGGCACAGGGGTGTAGGGCTCGGCCCCAGACTCCCTCCTTTCTCTGTGCCCTCAGGGTACCACTGCTGAGCCAGGAGCCAGGCTGGCATCTCCTACACTCTGCCCATTGGGGGCTGCACCACTGAGAAAGCAGCAAATGAGAGCATAACAGAGCTCTCCTCCTCTCAAGCCCTCTGAATGTTGCAAGGCATCCTACAGCACTCACCTGAATGGGGACAGCCAGTAAGAATGGAGTAATTTAGCTCCTGCCACCCTCGCTAACTGATCATTTCTACCTGTACAATAAACTGATCATTTCTACCTGTACACTTGAAATGTTACAGTGGAACAGCTGCACTGCTGTAGCACTTCAGAGTAGACACTACCTACTCCGGTGACAGGGATCAGATAATCCACCTCCCTGAGAGGTCGGCAGAAGAATTCTTCCATCAACTTAGGGCTTGTCTACACTGGCACTTTACAGTGCTGCAACTTTCTCGCTCAGGGGTGTGAAAAAACACACTCCTGAGCGCAGCAAGTTTCAGCGCTGTAAAGCGCCAGTGTAGAGAGCGCTGTTAGCTATGCCCCTCGTGGAGGTGGGTTTTTTAGAGTGGCACTCTGCCGCGACTACACAAGCCACATTAAAGCGCTGCCACGGCAGCACTTTAATGTTGCCAGTGTAGACTAGCCCTTAGTGCTGTCTGCACAGGAATGTAGGTTGGCTTAACTATGTTGCTCAGGGGTGTGGATTTTTCACACTCTTGACTGATGTTTTTAATCTTACCTCATTTTCTAGTGTAGACCAGGCCTAAGAATTTGACTACGCAGGCAACAGAGCTAGAAGTTTATGATTGACTGCATGAGTGATTATTTGGCTGGGGAAAAGCAACCCAAATTTGGCCAAATAACTAGGCCTTTGACAAATTGCAGTTCATCTATGCTCAGTCAAGACTTGCTAGAGCTTCACAGCTTATTTCCCCAAAGATTTCATCTGCTCAGGGCTAAGCAGGACTTTCCCTGCAAGTGCAATTCCTGGATGCTCCAAGCTGTGCCAGGTCCAGGTCTGGGCAAGGGATCTGTGAGCAGGGAGCCTGTCTCTCCTGTGCGCTCAACATCCGCACCCTCATCACTGCTGATGCCCAGGCAGCAAGGAGAAGGAAGCTGCCTGAATCATGTGCAGAGGGGACAAAAGCCAGATCTGGTGGGGGAGTAGAGTGGGACAAGGAACCTGGCAGGGAAAGACTGGGACTGGAGGCTTGTGGGAGGAAAAGGGTAGCTGGAATTTGGAGTTGGGCGGGAGACTGGGAGTGGCTGGGTAAGGACACCAGGAGCTGGGAGGGGAGGCAGAGAAGATTGGAATTGGATGGCAAGGAGACTGGGACTGGAGCCAGGGAGAAAAATGACGGGGACTGGGACTCAGTTGGGGTGGAGAGACAGAGAATATGAGCAGCCAGGGGAGACTGGGACCAGTGGGGTGGGTGGGAAGGAGGGTGAGGGGATGGGAAGCTGGTCTGACAAGGAATCAGGGTACAGCAGAAGAACAGGGATGGGAGAGGAAAAGAGACAGACAAGGAGCTGGGGCCAGCGGGGTGGATACTGAGATTGCACAGGGAGCCACAGAAGGGGCTGGGGATGGAGGGTGAAAAGACAGATAGGATGAAGAGTCAGGAGGGGGTAACTGGTAGTGGCTGGGCAAGGAGATGGGACTAGGAGCTGGAAAGGGGTGGGGGAACTGGGAATGGTTGGGCAAGAAGACTGAGACTGGGAACAAGTGGGGAGACTGAGACTAGGATGGTGAATCCAGAGGGGGAGTCTATGATTTGCTGGGCAAGAAGACTGGAACTGGGATGAGAAACTTAAGGAGTGGAAACTGGGACTGACAAGGTGAAGAGGATGGGACTGGGACGAATAGCCAGGGGTGTGGAAGAGATGACTGGGACAGGGACAGGAAGGGGACAGCACAGAAAAACTCAATCTTGGGGGAAACAGAAAAGTCTGTCCCCACTAGAGCACATCCCCCTCCAGAGCCTTCAATGGAACCCAAGATTCCCGAGTCTCACCATTCCTCTGCCGTCAGCATATGTCTGTGAAACCCACTGGCAAACTATCTCATCCACCTCTAGTGCTGGTCCCCATAGAGGATGACAACTTACTATTGCTACCAGTTACTACATTAGCTCAAGTAGCCAAGATCTGTGCAGTGGATCTAAAGGTTCCAACTGTGCTGATGACCCACAAAAGTGTCAATATGATGTCACATGATGGAATTTCTGTTTTTTCTTTTCGCTTTTTTAAAAATCTAGGAACTTACATACAAAAACCTGTGTTAAAAGAACATCATTATGGTTGCAAAGTCAAGCACTCAAAAGTTAGGAAATGCCAGAATGCAGGTTGCTTGTGCCAATATATTACTTTTACACACACACACACACACACACACACACACACACACACACACACACACTTCCATGTCCATAACATATAATATGTTTGCGTGGCCCACATGTGCTTTTCTAGACCCTAATACATTTGAATTTCTTTTAAGTTTCATCTTCACTGTTAATTTCCTGTCTTTAACTGTTGGGTTGGGATAATTACAACATCCCTGTAATGTATTTTACCCTAAATTACTGATGTGTATTCTGCCTTAATTGTATTTCAACATTCTGTTTGGGAATACAGATATATATATTTACAAATAAAGACAAAGAAAAAAGACAATTAATAATATACTTTTATATCTCAACAAAGACAGCTTTCCAGAGTGCAAGTATTTTGTCCATCTGCACACAATTCCTGTAGTGGATTTACATATACTACAGGTCCAAACAATCAAGTTTCTGCCATGAAAAAGGCAGAAGGGACTGCAGAGGCAGGAGTGGTCAGGCTTAGCTGAGATGGCCAACAGGCTCAAGGCTTAAGTAATACATCATTTTCAATAAAGGGGGACATTTGCAGTGTCTAACCGCATCCCTCCCCTTTCCATAGTTTCCCAATCTGTAAAGGATTAGCTAGGCTCTGAAGTTTTGCCATGTCCAAGCCCTCGGAGAGAGAATTCATAACTAGATGACCATGTATAATGCTAAGATTTATCTTGGAAACACTTTAACAGCTTCTGCATGACTAACTCATCCCATATATACTGGTCCCACTCAGTGAGAGGAGGAAAGGGGTTGCATTTCCACTCTCTGGCAGTAATTAAATGGGTCTGTAAAGGCTGGCCCTACAGTCCCCAAAGGGCAAGAATCGTCCCTAAGCAGTCTGGTTTCAGGTTTGTTATGGAATGGCAACTGTATTGTTGTCTAACAATGGAGAAGGGTAAGGTGTGCATGATGATTATTGTGGTGCTATCAGCACCGATAACCATGAGGTTTTGTCATCTTCCCTGTGTGATCTTGGGTGGGGAAGGGTATGGGGGGGAGGAGGGAGGAAAGGTGTGAGTTCTTCTTGTAGACATCTCATAGCAAAGAAGGAATCCAAATGGGGGAAGAATCAAAACTCAAAGATGCTCTCCAACTTTGGTGGGTCCAAATTGCTTCCAAGTTTTAATATTACATACAAAAATGAAGCACCATATTCTCTTTATTGCAGCAGATATTCCAGTCATAAAACTCCCATGTGTTTTATAGAAAAGTAGCTCCCCTATTTAACAGTTAAGCTCCTCTATTTAACAGTTTCCATCAGTCTATGGTTTAATTACCAGTCTCTTTGGCCAGCTTTCTCCAGTAATAATTATGACCTAGTGAAGTTATTTAATTGGACATTTACAAACACCAGACTTATAAAATTGGAGGCCATCGGTCCTTTCTGGCTTGCAAATGACCTGGCGGGCGCTGTAGATTTGCTATTTCTATCTTATAGTGTTTTCACAGTTATCATCACTGGAACACGTGGTTTGTGGTGGGGCAAGAGAATGAGGGGAATGGGGTATTATTCTCCTCTTACCGCCTTTATAGGAGGAATAGATAAACATGTTCAGATAAAGGAAGAACTAACCTAACCCTTTGCTCAACACTGGAGCTGAACCCCGACAGTCAGAAAAGATCTACTAACTTCCTGCCACCATGATCAGCATTATTTCCACATCCATTGTATATAATGTTTGCCTAATTTTGTACTCCCTGATTCAGTCCAGGACTAGCAGTAGAGGATTGCCTTAATACCATTAGAACATGTGTTCTCATGAGATTTCCAGGCCAGTTGTGAAATGCCATTTTAAGATGAAAAGTTTGGACTGCTGGGCCAGAGCTTCAGATGGTGATGCAGACCTCCAGTGCAGTGATGATTTATGCAAGTACAGTACAATTTTCACCAGTTTCGTTTATACCCATCCCCCTTTTTAAAGAGCCAAATTAGCTTTTCTGCAGGAGATTCATCCATCCACTTAAGAGCATGCTATACCTGGGTGGGTGATATATATGCCTCCTTTTGCTTTAATGATAAGTTGGGGGCATTGCTTTTTGTGATTCATGCACTGGAAATATTAAAAAAATACCCACAATTCCAGAAATTCTGCACACTAAGTGGAAGCAGAAAAAGCTTTACAGCAATACACTGTGAACAAACACAAGCGTTTTTAATATTGATGTGATCCACGCAGGAGGTTTTGGTTACTTAAGTGGGAAGCAGTATTTTTGTATTGTTGTTATTGTTTCAACCCCACATTGAGAAGTCCAGAGGATTGTCAGACACAATTCATAACCTCAAATGGTGTGTGGTAT